CTGTTCTGAGTTCCTAAGATATCAAATGTTTTAAATGTACTACATATGTAAGTGTAACTATTAATCAAATACGCGAATTGATGTTCCCAGAAATTTACTCGATCCGTCCAGCCAGAGCAAGACTTTTGGAAGAAAATATTAATAAACTATAATCATTTTGTGGCATTTTATATCCTTCATTTGTCGAAAGTTACCTGTTTGATTGTGGTATTTAATTCATGTAAAACTGTAGTTTTTATATTCATGTTGATTCGTTATCAAATCACTCCCTTTGCTCTTACAGAAAACAAAACATTTTCTTTGTCTTTCACAGAAAATGGGAAATTAAATTAAAAGCTGACAACATCGCTTCCTTAAGATCCACGGACTCAATCAAACACTGACAGATAAGTCCTACGGCCCATCTGATCTGTGATGGATGGTTATAATCTTATCTAATCGATGGTGGGCATTCTAAGGCACATGACAATAAGATAAGACACTTCCATCATCTTATCAGATTTCTCGAAGGCGATCATATCTTATCATTTCCTTTATTCGACACATTCATCAAGTATTCTTATTACATTTACCGAAATTTTGGTGCATCACAGACTTTTCTTATGCAGTGTCTTTGGTGGGTTGTTATGACTGTCAACCAAAAACACTTGCACTCTGCTTTCCATTATTTTTCAACCAAGTCACACCAGTCATTTCTAAGATCTGTTTTCACGCAATTCTGATAATTTTCATTCGATCACTGCCAACCTAAATGCATGAGCATTTTCTTATATCTTAATAGCTCAGTTACTAACATTTTAAGGATATATTAAAGTAACAATACCATCCATATATAAAAATGGATGTATGTAGGCCTGTAGTTAACATTCAATATGGGCCATTGCTTAGAAATATAGTTATCTACCACAAACCTCATTAAATAATGGAATGGTGCCAAACGCCCCTTGCGCTTCTGAATCAAAACACCCACGCCATATCTTACCTGTGAAGTGTTGGGTATGCCCCGAAATATATACATCTGCCTTATCACAAGCAACGCATGTTCTTCGACCTGCGACATAATGATAACATAAGGATGGGTACACAATCACAAGCACGATAGGATATTAATAGCTCCTTGGTATTAATGATCGTTGTTGCCTGGCACTTAGTCGCACCGTCTCTGAGGAGGAAATGGCCTGATAGCAGCCGGGAATCTCATTATCTCTTTCTACGAAGGTCACGGGTCTGCAGGACAGGAATCGTGCTTGCGTCCCCCCCCCCATCCCTTTGTATCCCCGCCCGTGTCCTCTATCACATCGGCTATTGTCTATGAATAAATGGTTGTTTATGGCTGTATAGTATGTTGCCTGTTTGTGTGTCGTGTTAAATCCACGTCTTTTATGCTTGGCTACTGAGGCGTGTCTTCATCTCGCAGGCACTTGCAAACCAGAAATCCTAGAAAATTTAATCTGGTAATGGTACCATTTTCAATATATTTACGATGAAAATAAATTTTAGAAATGAGACACCATGATTTACCCAATGGTTCCGGTGTGTCGTATGTCCCCTGATTATGTGCTGTTACCTGCATGTCTTTTAATGTTAATTGTTGAAGCGTGTCTTCCCATTAGATAGTTGCGTTGATACGGTCTTTAATAGATCGACGTCTTAGCCCAGACCAGAAATCATTTTTAAGCCCTAGTATAATTTCAAAACTATTTCAGAGCAAAATTAACATGTCTCAGACAATGTGGTTTACCAAGAGGTTCCGGTCAGGTGTGTAGGCTGGCTTTCCCAACATGAAATCCGAGATCCTGGGCTTTCTTTCTGTCATTTTTCCTTTCATTTATTAATTTATCTGTGTACTTTATAAAGGCCTATCACACTCGCACTTTTTCCGTCATGAACTCCGTATGAAAATCATGTAAACAAACATGGCGCTATCGGAGGAAGGTCCCGGGAATCACTCGAACATTCTCATACATATTACGTTATTTTAAAGAAATATGATGATGTATATTGTATGTACGAATGTTCTAAAATATTAGCTTACGTTTACATTCACCCATCCTATCTAATTTATAAATAGCACAAGATCAAAATGGAAATTAGTCAGACGGAAACGGTCGTAACCGTCTTGGTCTGGGAGGCGTTCCGTTTGTAGACGATCCTTGCGGAAAGCCTCAAATTCAGACGGAACCCCAGAAATTGACGGAAAAAGTGCTTGTGTGATAGGGCCATAGACTACGATCCGGAGCTATTCATAAACATTCAGTGTGGAGTCCCAGACCCACATCCCTAATGTCACATATGCAGACGAACGCGAAACGGAGACAAATTTTAAAAATGGAATAAGAATTTTGTCATCATGAAAACAAAATACAAAATGTCAACACAGGAACAGTTTCATTGCGCCCAACTCTGGATTAACCATTGAGCAGAATGAACACATTCTTAGTGCACCAAATGGAAGGACCATCACTGTTTTCTCAGCAAAGCACATCCTTTCTCTGCTACACTCGAACAGCACGTAATGTTGGTCACGCTTTATGTAGAATAACGTCTGCCATGACAGGATGGAGTATTTTCCTTTCCCATTTCATTCCTTTTGTTCAGATTATTCATGAGAGACGACAGGTAATGCTACTTCTGTACCAGACTGTAGAGATTTTTCTTGCGCGGGAATATTACAAATGCGCGGAAAAAATAAAAAAAAAAAAAAAAAAAAAATGCGCGACGATGATATGAATGCTGGGTTCAGGAAACTCAATTAATATATTTTCACAGCCGTATTTTTTATCTGGGAAAGAAAGGGGAAGTAAGGAAGGTAGCAAGGAAGGAATGAAGAAAGGGAGGGAGGGAAGAATGAATGATTGAATGTATTAAGGAAGGGAAGTGAGGAGGGAGAGGAGAGAGAGAGAGAGAGAGAGAGAGAGAGAGAGAGAGAGAGAGAGAGAGAGAGAGAGAGAGAGAGAGAGAGAGAGAGAGAGAGAGAGAGAGAGAGAGAGAGAGAGAGAGAGAGAGAGAGAGAGAGAGAGAGAGAGAGAGAGAGAGAGAGAGAGAAAAGTGAATGAGAGAGTTGAATAAAATGCCTTCCAAGTTTAGAATTTACAAACTTACTTTTCCAAGTTCAGTCCCAATCATGATGTCTTTTCGAAGCAATGGAGGGCGTAGGGGCGGCATCTTTGTCAGGAGATAAAGACGTAAGCCTGACATCACCCTTGACTCTATTATACGTTGGAGTATATGTTCAGAATATGCATAATTATATCAGTAGATTTATCATCCCTTTACTTTCATAGGGGAGGGGATCATATTTATAATCACTGTGTAGCGTAATTTTATACATTCTGCAGCCAAATGATTTGGGTTTAAGTCACTTTATCCATATTGTTCTCATTGTTATGGTTTACTGCAATATTGGTACTAACATCAATAATTTTACGGTTATTACTGTTACCATTATCATCATTATTACCACGAAAACGAAGACGGGACAAGGAGGAACATTCGAGAAAGACGCGAGAAACAAACAAAAGGAAGAGAGCAGAGTGTGAATAGGATTTATCAGTATCAGTGTCACCCTTACTTACCATCGCTTTCATATTATTAAATACACTTACCCTGAATTTTTTTCTCATTGAAGGAAGCAAGAGTTTCATTTCAGGAACGTTGGGGAAGGATTTTTTTTTTCAGGATGTTTCAGCGAGTTGACTGTCGGCCATTGTTGTATTGTTGGGCAGTTTCGGTAATTGGCGGAGGGAATTCGGTCTTTTCGGGCGCGACATCTGATACGGATGGCGTGTGGTGGGCGGGGTAGGGTAGGGTGGGCAAGGGGGTATCTGGTGGGGGGGAAGGGGGTGGAAGTGTATTGTGTTTGGTCGTTTTCGTTGTTTAATTGTTTTGTTTGTGTGTGTGTGTGCTTGTGTTTTGGTCGTTTTCGTTGTGTGTGTGTGTGTGTATGTGTGTGTGTGTAGTGTGTGTGTGTGTGTGTGTGTGTGTGTGTGTGTGTGTGTGTGTGTGTGTGTGTGTGTGTATGTGTGTGTGTGTGTGTGTGTGTGTGTGTGTGTGCGTGCGAATGTGCGATTTTTGCATGTGTGTGTATGGAGTGTGTATCTGTCCGCATATGCCTTGTTTGAGTTCACATATCGGTGTGAGTGCGTTTTGTGTTTGTATCCGTCTGGGACATATCACCGAATGCTATGTAAACTTTTCGCGTTGTCGAATAATTTGGTATTTTATAAATCCTCTGTTCTGGGCGGTTTTCGTCAAGACCTCTCCAAATTACATAACACTTGTCGCGTGACACTTTCCTGTATGTATATTGCACTGTAAACACTTGCTTCAGATATCTCAAAACCATCTTATGCAATTCGCTGTGTACTTGAAACAAGTTGAGCCTGTTTTCCAAATACAGACGTATTGAGATACATACACCCTACTCGCCATGCGTGCGCGCAGACACACATAACAAACACATTTACACACGCGCGCCTATACATCCAGAAACCAATTATGTTGATGTTTTATCTGCCTATCCTTGGTTTATGTGAATATAATTAGTCTCCCCGTATCTACTCATACAAGGCTGAGAGGTCGTTTCATCACTTCTTTTACTAATTAAACTGATAATTCCCCCAAACAAGTGGCCAGTCTATCTCTAGATATTGTATTTATTAGGTGTCAACGCAACGAAACATTATCATAATGATTATGTAATAGGTATTATTAGACGTAGATTTCCAATATATATTAGGTAGAGTTATAGATATTGAGTCATATCTTGTAAATATCTTTCGTATTTGATAAAAATACATGCGTTAATGTCATGTCAGTCTATTCATTTATTCATATTTTTAAGCTTTGGCTAATGCGCCAGGTGGACTTGTTTTCTTGTACATATTTATGAGATTATGATATCGGGTTTTTCCCAAAATCTGGAGAACTGAATATAGACTAATTTTTATACGTGAACCTGATTTTTTTTATACGAACGTGAATATGAGATTTAATCCCTT